GGGTTAGGTTTCAGGTGAAAAATATGTCGGATCAAATGTTGCTGACTCTAGGAAGAGTAGTGTAAGAAAGGTATCAGCCGGTGGGTGTAGCTCAGCCAATTAAACAAGGAGTGCCAAAGGGGATAAATCTGAATCCAATTTTTGGTAATTGCATAGAAGACAAGCATACTGAGCATATTTATAAGTGCAAGGTATATGTTCCACCCTTAACTAGAGTCTGTGATTATAATTAAATTTAGGGGAATTTATCTAAACAGTACTAAAACACAATAACTTTCCCAATGTAGTATCTTATATTTTTATTTATCAATGTAGTACCACTGATCATTATTCAAGCAAATGCCCACTGTCACTGCACATTGTTCAAACCAAATGTTACCATCACTGGATATTATTATTCCAGCCACTAGGCATTATTCAAGTAATATTTATAGAATAAAAAAATTTAAGTACTACATTAGAAAATAACATATGTTTTTGTATTATCTAGTGAAAAATTCACTTAAATTTACTTTCTCTTAGATGACAATCTGACCAATTATGGTGGGACTTTTGAGGAGGTGGGGTTCATGATATGGTTTGTTTTGTGTAAGAAAGGTATCAAATGGCGTGAGATATTCAAAGAATCAAAAGGCAAATACGGAGTAAAATGATTGTGAAGTGGGCGCATATTATGACAAGATATAATAGCCGGACACACTCTCAATCAAAATGAAAAGGGGTCGCAGCCCACAAAAAGCTTAGGGTGTACATATGCGCTTATGTTCGTGAGCGTGGCTCAAGTTATACCTCATCAATTCACCTCCTCACGAAATAATAGTGGGGAAAATATTTATGTGTTCCTGTGTCTAGCGTGGTCACTGTGGGGGGCGATACCGGAACCTCACCCAAAGAGAGTTCTTTCAAATTGTTGGAACATCCACTCAAAGAATTTTTGGAATTTTTGGCATTTTTAATAGATATTAAATGGATCAATTTGGGTATATTTGTCAATAGGTCCACTACAAGTTTCACGAAATAAATTTGAATTTTATTCATGATAATTGGGAAACAACTATCGTAACATAAAGTTTTTGCAAGTAGCAGATGCAAATTAAACTTTCTGCTGTTAATCTAAAATTATAACTTAATATATTTCCTCTCAGGTGACCGTCTAGTCAATTTTGAAAGACCCTTGGGAATGAGGCTCGTTCGGGAGAACATTTATGTGTACTTATGTTTTTCAAAGTTACATAGTTTAAAAGCATACACTCCCTTCGTTCAAAAATGACTTTCCTGTTACTTTTCACAGAGTCGGACTTTATTAATTTTGTTCACTTATCTTCGGTGCACATTTGATGAAATAATATAGTCATGCTGTCTCTTTTATATAGATCATTTGATGTATTGTGTACGGAGTAATTTTTAAATATATAATTTTTATTTTTATACATACATCATTTTTCATATAAAATGATTGAAAATCATTTTAGCAAAACATCGTGCATGGGGAAATAATTTTTAGACCAAAAAGAGTAATCAAACTTTTTATTATGGGGATATTTTCAAAGAGTGTTTCCCAAAACAGCAAGGATCTTTCGATCCTTGAACCCCGGGTCATATTATGACCCGGGCCCCCTACTGTGCTCCGTTCGTAAAATTGACACTTCATACCTCCCTAACCCCCCTAAACCCTACCCCCAACCCCCTACATACCTACCCCACCTAGGGCTGTTCATCGGTCTAAGACCGGATCGAACCGGACCGAAGACCGAAATGAGTAAATTCAAGGACCGAAAAAATACATATTTTTTTAATTATTTTGATCAATTAAATATATTTTAGACTTTTTACTTTGTACCATTCAAATAGAAAATGAATAAAAAATAGGCAACCTTAAAATGGATACGCAATATGAACTACTTCAATAATGTAAAACAATAAAAACAAATATGAAACGTTTTTTTATAGATTTTTTTTTTAAAAAATTACTTAATAAGAAACCTTTAAATTAAATAAATTAAAATATCTATTAAAATAGAGCATCAAAGTGTAATACAGAACTTAAAAGGTAGAGTTTTAGCATTAAGGTCTTGTAGGGTCATTAGGTCCAATCGGTCCAACCGGTCCGGACCTAAATCATTTCGGGTTTGGTCCGGACCGGACCGAAACCCGATTGCCTAAATTTTAGGGACCGAAGACCGACCCGAAATTCATTCGGTCCGGGTTCGGTCTGGACCTAATGGTTCGGTTCGGTCGGTTTTTTCGGTCAGGACCTAAATGTGAACAGCCCTAACCCCACCCCAGCATCCCCTCCCCCAATTGGCTAGCTACAATAAACTGCCCCCCCCCCCCAATTGTCGATTAGCTATAGTAAATGGTAGCCAATCTGCGATTTGGGACAAGGGGTGCTGTGGTGGGGTGAACAGGTAGGAGGTGGGGTGGTAGAGTTTAGGGGGAGATTAGAGGAATGCGAACCATTAATTTTGCGAATGGAGTACCGTAGAGTCTCGGATCATATATCATGACCCGAGGTTCAAGGATCAAAAGAACCATTTTATTATCAAAAATATACGCTGTAGTTGTTTTTAAAATTTGCACATTGGAGTATGTCGATATGAAATGCTTTTTAAGCATCACATGTTTGAACAAGCACTCGCTGCTTCTTTTAAAATGGTGTTAATAACTCGGTTTTGAGTTAATATTTTTTTCCTTCTTTTTTAGACACTTTAAATATTTTTAATGTAAAATTTTTTAGTTGTATAACTAATTTTATTTTAATTTCCATTCTTACAGTCTTTTAATTTTCTTTAACAAAGGATATTTTTAAAATCTTTTATTGCATTCCGTTTCCTTGATTTTAATATTCTTAATTTTCAATAAAAGTGAAGCAAAAGAAGCATTTACACACAATTTTGAAAAGAAGAAGTTGAGTTTGGACCACAGCCCAAACCCAACAAAATCGTAGCCCAACTCTATGGAAAAACAAAATGAAACCAACTCCATTGTATAGCCCAAATTGAATCAACGCGCATCATTTCGTAGCCCAACAGCCTCATCAAGTGTAGCCAAATTTAATTATCTTCTTGTTTCTTTTACATTTAATTATCAAATGTAATAGTGTTGATTTGAACTTTATTTTACATTTTGGTTTGCATGTTTTCATACATTTTAAAAATTCAAAAAAATATGATTGGTACTTATTTTTGGGTGTATATCATTGTTTAAATATGTATATTAAATTCCTTATGCATGATAATTGATTCATACTAGTTTTCTTCAATTACATAGCAAATCATTGTTGAATCGATTAGATTGCATACTTGATTTCATAAGGGGTTGGTATATCAAATTTAGATTTTATTGAAGCTACTTTAGCTCAGTAAAGTTTTTCGTATTTAAATAAATTTTGAATTCATGTGTGCTTATTTGTTGCTAGGTTGCTTGCAAATTTTTTAGAACTTTGAAGCCTTCGCCCCATAAGTTGGTCATTTTCTCAAAATTTGATATTTCTTGATTGTTATACTTTCATGCGCTTGTTATTTTAAAAAATTTGAAGTTGTTTAAGCTCTAAAACAAAATTTGATTTATGGCAAATATGTTGTGTTTCTTTATGTGAAAAAAGTCATTGATTTGAAAAGTTCATGAAAACCTATGGAATGTGTTGGCTGATTTGTGAATAATTTATGTACGAGAGTTGCATGCATAATAGATTATCTTTATTATAGAGTAAAAATATTTTCTATAACGCAAGTATGTTTTCATGCTTGGATAGAGAATTGTGGTTCAAAGTGTACTTTCAAAGTATACTTTTGAATTACACGACGACTCGAGACAATATGGAGAGTTGATAATATACTTCATATTGTGGTAAATATGCTTGGCCTTTGAATGAATAAATAATACTTCATCCGTCTAAGAAGAGTATTTGTTCAGTTTTGACTCTTTGAAATCAACCAAAATTGATGTTTGACTAGTTATTAAATAAAAATTACATGGTATACTCCGTATTAATTAGATAAAAAAATATTTTGAAAATATTTTACAAGATAAATCTAATAAAATTATTCTTGTATCAATATCTAATTTAAATTTTTTTCAATTAGTGCTCAAACTTTATCAATTTCAATTATGAAAAATTAAAATTGGATAAATATTTTTAGATGGATGTAGCAGGAGTATAACTTAAAAACACAATATGGAGTATGTTTAGATGCTTTAATATGTTCATTCATGAGATAAGAATATAAAACACGTTTAATTTCCGAGGAATAATGTTTTAATTATTCTATTTAAAAGAAGATAAAAAAGTTCAAATATAATTTAAAATAAATAAGAAATGAGACTCATGAAACAAAGATAATATACGGAGTAGTTATTGAAGACTAAGGGTAAGCATGGTACGATATTTAGCCCGTACCGATATTATACCAAATATTTCGATTCGGTATGAGATTTTACGTCGTACCTATCCCGATCCAAAAATTTTGGTTTGGGATAATTCGGTATCGATTTTGGGATAAACTGGAATGAAAACACGCACACCTAATTTAAACTTTCAAATGTCACAAAAATATTTATTTTTTTATAAATCAAAAGTATATTTAAAAAAAATAACATGAAAAACAAAAAAAATGAAAAATTAAATGCAAGAAATGCTTATTAAACTTAATTTATATCTTGCAAACTTCAGTAAACAGATGATAACAAAATGATACCCAGAGTATTTCAGATGTGTGTTACTATTGTTAAATTCTATTTCAAAAATTAGAAACTCAAATAAAAGTATAATGTACACAGAATAAAATTTGAACCAAATTTTAAAAACTAAACTTATTATTCAATGAAAAAATATAAAAAGATTATTATATTTATAATAAAATACGGAGTATTCCATATTAGGAGTACTCCGTATTAAAGACCCAAAAGACTACCAAAAGGGCAAAAAGTCCTTCCAAACCCAACGAGGGTCATTTCTGTCATTCCGTTTTTCAAACGTTGAAAAACTTTGAAAAGTGCAAGCAAAGACCAACTAAACTTTCCTTTCCCTGCAACTTTCTCCACATGAGAAGAGAGATCGGAGCAGAATTCCTTCCGACCCGGACCCATGTCGTTCAATCCGACCCATTTGATGGACTCGCAGACGGCGGCGGAGCGGGCGGTTTCCGTCATCGGGTTCGGGTACGACTTGACGGCCGATATCCGGCTGTCAGCTTGCAAGCCCGGGCCATCCGGGTCGGGTCTGATCAACATTCAACGGAGCTCCACCAAGGACTTGGTCCTTCCCGGAGGCGTCGTCGTCGCTAATGTCTCGACCTCCATCAAGTGCGACAAGGGTGAACGGACTCGGTTTCGCTCAGATGCTCTGTCGTTTAGTCAGGTGATTCCTCGTCTCTTCTGAGATTTTGTTCCCTTTATGTTAAATTTTTTCCATTTTTGATCTATGTTTAGCTTCTACTACTGTGATCAACATGGAGCCACTGAAATTTGTTTGCTTGAATTTGGATTGCTGCAATTTACTGGGTTGCTTGAATTTTGAATTTGTGATTTTTGTTATTTCCAGTTTGTTGCTTAAATGCTTAGCTTTTACTGTGTTTGGTTGTAAAAGAGGAATATGAGAAACCCATTTTTATGTAGTTAAAATTACAACTTCTAGTTCAGTTTAGTTAAGTTAATTTAAATTCACTTCAGTTAAGTAAATGAAACTTAATGATGAATTTACAAGTAGCCAAACAAAATGCTTAGAATAGACAAGTAGCATGTTTGGTTTCTTTTTCTTCTTTCCTATTCACCTGAAATTTATAGAACTTTGCTTTAAAAGAGAATGACTTTTGAAGTTGGCACCAAAGTTTGGTGAATGTTTTTATTTCTTTCTTTTTTTTGGAAATTTGAAAAATATCTTATTTATCCTTGTTTTCAGATGTCTGAACAATTCAATCAGGAACTGTCTTTATCTGGCAAAATACCTTCGGGTCTATTCAATGCAATGTTTGGTCACAAGGGGTGCTGGCAAAAGGATGCTGCTGCCACGAAACTTCTTGCCTTTGATGGATGGTTTATTTCCTTGTATAACGTCGAGTTGGTGCGTAGCCAACTTGCTCTATCTGAGCAATTGAAAAGAGAGGTTCCTTCTTCTTGGGATCCACCTGCCCTTGCTCAGTAAGATCATTTAGAACAGTTCTAATGCCAGAACCCATAATGTTCTTTTTAAGAAACTAATTTTGTAGATTCAAAAATCACATTTTAAATTGTAGATTATACCATATACTCCTTATGTTTTTGCATTCTAGGAAGATTTAACCTCTTTGATTTTTTACAGGGGTAAGATTCGATTGTGTACATCTTGACCCCCAGACCCCCACCAAGTTGGGATTATGCTGGGCTTGTCGTTGTTCTTGTAGGAACTAGGAAGATTTATTTGCACATATTTTGATTCTATCCTTACTGACCTTGACTTATTCATCTCTGTTAGTGCCATGATTTTTTCTTCGTATGATATCCACTTATATTATGGAAGTGTTTGATTTCTTTCTTAGATGGCACTCTTTTTAAATATGGAGTACAATTTTTTTTTAAAAAAGAATCTTACTAATCATGAACATATTGAAAATGGATTTTTTCCCGTATGCTTTCACTTATGTCCAATGATCAGTCACTCTGTAAAGATTTAGGTGTTTATATAGAAATGACAACTGTTTGTAAACTACAATACTTCATGGATTTAAGTTGAAAGAAATGTTTGAATTTCTTTATAATTGACAACCTTATATCCCTTGATAAATATGACATGCAAATAACTGTCACAATCTCATTACCTCTTAGTTGCTAGAAACTCACAAATTATGAAATTTATTGCACGAGTGTCCAGATTCATCGAAAAATATGGGACCCATATCATTGTTGGGGTAAAGATGGGAGGAAAGGATGTAATCCACATAAAGCAGCTTCACAATTCAAATCTTGAGCCTGCAGAAGTGCAGAAATTATTAAAACAGTTAGCTGATGAAAGATTTTCAGACGATGTAAATGGAAACACGATATCAAACCCAAATAAATCTACTGAAAATCATAAGGTAATTGGCATCAAAATTTCCAGACATTCTTCTAACAATCATCTTACTGTTTAACATTCATATCATTTTGTGGTCACACAGAAATGAAAACTCAAAGTGTAAAACTAAATTGCAATTCAAATGGTACTGAGGGATACCTGAAAGCAAAGTGTATGTTTGGATCCCTATAAATGCCAGGGAAAAGGAAAAAATGCTAAAGAAAGTTTTTTTTCTTATTCTTTGCCGATGAAAATGAAATTTATTACTCTCTTGTATTTCCCGTGTTCCTAACAAACCCAAAAGATCAAGGTTTGGAAATACATTCTTGTATCTTGTGATGAAGAGTAGATTGTGGATGTTTTTGCATCCAACAACATTCGTGGGACACTTGATACAGGAACTGTTTAGCCACCTTGCACTCATTGAACTCTTTTATTTATTTCACAGGATCGAAGATCTATGCTTTTGGATACTGGTTTACCAGTTGCAACTTCAATGAGACCCACTATTCTTTCACACTCAAAGAATGATGTAAGCCTTTAAACTTGTAGTTCTTGTTATTTAACAAACTGTGTTTTTTAAGATGTAAGAACCAGATACTGCAAGCTAAGACAATGTATTCTGTTGCAGGACATAGTAAGCATCCATATCCGTCGGGGTGGTATTGACTTTGACCAAAGTCATAGCCAATGGCTGTCTACAGTATCACAGAATCCTAATGTTATTTCAATGTCCTTTGTGCCCATTGCTTCATTATTAAGTGGTGTTTGTGGCAGTGGATTCTTAGGTCATGCAATTAACTTGTACCTGCGATGTGAGTATTGAGCATTTTTCTAAGTAATTATCTTTATAAAAACTACCATGGTGAGGTATGTGGTTATCTTTAAATATACTTTTCATCCCTACAAAAATAGCGTTTTTTGTTCTAGTCCTTGTAATATTTTTTGCTTGTTATTCATCCCTATAATTTATCATTTTTACCTTTTAGGCCCTCTGTGTCAACCTATGTTTGAAAGAAAAACTACCACAAGTCTTCACTTTATTTGATACGAAATGCATTATATCGCATAGATAAAAAGACTAAGTGTTTAACAAATTACATGGAAAGTCCAGTCTTATTTTTTTTAAACAGATGTTGACGAGGGATTATCAGGTAAAAACATGGTAACTTACAAGGATGAATGAAAAATATATTTTAATACATTGGTGTAAAGCAAAGAAGGATGCCATATTTGTGGGGACAGAAAACATATTTAAGCCTTTTTAATGCTTTGGTGGTTCACATGGGCTGGGTTGCTGACAATCGAGGGTGGCTATTCTTTTGTATCTTATACTAACAGTTGCAACTTTATGAGTTGAACCTCTGTATAATGTAACAAACTTATGCAGACAAACCACCAATAGAAGAACTTCAACAATTTCTAGAGTTTCAGTTACCTCGGCAGTGGGCACCAGCATATGGTGATCTTCCTCTTGGTCACCGTCGCAGGAAACAGAGTTCTCCATCTTTGCAGTTTACTTTTATGGGCCCCAAGCTATTTGTAAATACTGAGAAGGTGAACTTCTGCATCTTTAAAAACAATTTTCATGCACATAATTGGCTTCACAACCGCATCTTGTATCAAGTCGAATGTTTCATAAGAGCCTATTTGATTTTGATGTTTCACTCCACATCCCATCCCAAACCCTCCATCCAAACATACCCTAAGGGATTTACAAGAACATGCATATAATCTTGCAGGTGGAATCTGGAAACCGGCCCGTGACTGGAATTCGCTTGTACTTGGAAGGTAAAAGGAGTGATCACTTAGCCATACACCTGCAACATTTATCAACCCTTCCACAAAGTCTGCAACTAACGGATGATCTCACATACGAGCCCATTGATGTGAAGACCGAGCGCGACTATTTCGAACCCGTGAAGTGGAGCATATTCTCACACGTATGCACGGCCCCAATCGAGTACCACGGGGCCCGGGTAGACGACGCTTCGATAGTGACCAAGGCTTGGCTTGAGGTGAAGGCGATTGGGATGAAGAAGGTCTTGTTCATGAGGCTCGGGTTTTCCGCGGTGGGGTCCGCCTTGATCCGCAGATCAGAGTGGGACGAGCCTCTGAGCTCGTCCCGGAAATCGGGTCTCATCTCAATGCTGATCACCACACCTTTCAGCACCACAAAGCTCAACCAACACCCAGAGAAAGCTGTGAAAATGGATCTGAACTCGGCCGTTTACCCCGGGGGCCCACCTGCACCAGCAAGGCCTCCAAAGATGACACACTTTGTGGATACAAAAGAAATGGTGAGAGGGCCCGAGGAGTCGCCGGGGTATTGGGTCGTTACGGGTGCAAGGCTCTTCGTGGAGGACAGCAGGATTAGAATCAAAGTGAAGTACTCGCTGCTGACGATAACAACGGAGGACTCAAATCTTGTGATATGATGATTGTAAGGATATATATGTATACATGGTACCTTGTACATTGGATTTTGTACTATTGGGGTTTGTTAATGTGGTTGTGGGGGATATAGTAGAAGATTGATTGTTTGATTATGTGATTAGCACCAAGTCTTGTGGAAGTAAGAAGTTTGTAAAGAATTGGCACAAGTTCAAACTAAAGCCTTACATCATGGGGCAAGGCCATTATTTGGTAGCTCCATTTTTTTAAGTTGAGAGAATCAAAGAGTTCCATTTTTAGTGATTTTACTGATTTGCCCCGCATCACTATTTCAAAATAAATTCAAAATAGACTTCTAGGAGTTATGTCATTTAAGATTGGACATGTTTCTTGTAAGAGTTGTGTTCGTTTATTTTAATTCAATTTTGAATTCAAAATAAATCTCTAACATGGTGGAGTAGAGATATTTCTTAACATATCTCAAGATACTATAACCCTTTTTGGGGATTTGATGAAGTCTAAACAAAGTTCAAATTTTACTTTCTATCACTTGATATCACACAATTTATAGTATAACTGGTTTTACGGTTTTTCCTGTACAGTCGGCGTGTAATTTGGGCAACAAGGGAGAGAGAGAACGTCCGTAGCACTGCAGCAGTGAAGGATGGACCGTACAGAACCAGGAAACCCTAATCCCTATCGGCGATGTCTAATTCTGGCCGGGTCGAAGAAAGAAGGTAATTTCCAACCGGATCTTCTATGTAAAAGAAAGAAGGCGAAACGTCGATGAACTCTATCAAATCTGATCGGGTCAAAAAAAGAAAGCGAAAGACTAGATTGAATCTTCTGCGTAGGAGAAAGAAGGCGAATCGGCGACGAACATTGTCTAATCCGATCGGGTCGGTGAAAGAAGACGGAAGATGAGATAGATTTCAGAGAAAAAAGATTGCAGATTTAACGGTATGTCGTCTAAGAATGAATACTAACTTATTTGAGAATGTGTACTACTTTCTTTCAGAATGAACATTAATTTATTCGTAAATGAATATTATAATTGTATTGAATAAATATATAAAAAATGAACAGTACTTTATTTCAGAATGAGTACTAGGCTATTTTAGAATGAGTACTAGGTTACTTCAAAATGAATATATTTATGTTTTGTGCAAGAATGAGTACTACTTACTTCAAAATGAGTATTATATGGTTGTACCTTACTTCTGGTACAACGGGCTGTACCATATGCGTACTTGATATCACAAGCCTTCAACACTTTCAAATATGGGGTTTTTATCTCCCCCCACACCCGAAGCGTCCCAATGGCAAGGCAACGCACCCCACGCCTACCACCCGTCGCCGATCACCTATTATCGCCTTCCACATGCAACCAGCCACCTCCTCTCATTGACCCCCCCCCTCCCCCGCCGCCATTACCCATCCTCCATTACTAACCACTTCCCACAATCGGAGACCAACCAACTATTATCATTGTATTTTGATAATGATAAACGCACACACTGTATTTTATGAAGATTGTTGAACATCAGATCTAATGCTTCATCAACATTTGTGAAAATGTAAAACTAGTTTATTTTGTATTTTAATGATTTTAACTAAAATAAGAAGTGACCCCACCTTTTTATCGTCTGCAAAAAAGTAATCCCGTCAAAGTTGTAATTGCATTCAATTCAATTTTTTAAAAAATTTTCATCATTTAGAAACAAATTTGTCTTAATTAATAAAAAAGTTTTACTCCTACATATTTAGTTAAATATTGATGGAAAGAAACGAAAACTTAAAAAAGAAAAGTAAAAAGTGAGATAATTGTACACAATTGAATAGAATATAAGATTATTTTGCAAGCCTCTACAAAGATAGGATTATTCTAAATTTGAATTAGATTGTGCAAACGATGTCGTTTGCAAAAAGTGCGTTTCCTTCGGAGTTTCCGTACCAATCGAACGACTCATTCATTTCTCAAAACTGAAAAGGTCCAAAAACTTCTCATCTATCCTCGCTCAAAGAAAGCACCAACCCGTTCTACAATTCCGTCTCATTTCCCCGACCGATGGCCTCCCGGAACCCCAGTCGCCGCCGTCCCTCCGCCGCCGTCGTGCCTGTGAAGAGGAAGCCGGTGTTCGTCAAAGTGGAGCAGTTGACACCCGGGACCAGCGGCCACAACCTCACCGTGAAGGTCTTAAACTCCAACACAGTGCTGGAGAAGAAGCCCCGCGATACGTCGCTGACGGGATTCCGTCGCCCTCCTCAGAACACTCGCATCGCCGAGTGCCTCGTCGGCGACGAAACTGGCACTATCCTCTTCACGGCTCGTAACGAGCAAGGTTTCCATCCTTTCTCCCTCTCTCCTTCCATAATCGTTAAAAGCTTTGATTTTGATGAAATCTGTTTGCTATGTGTTCTGTAAATTCACTGGATTAAATGATAGAAACGGCTATGCTTACTCGTGACAATGTGGTGACGATGTTGTAATTAGGGTTATTAGCTCTGTATCAATTAACCCTTCGTGAAAGATTAGAAGTTTTCAATTTTGTGTTTCTTAGCCAATTTTTCCTATTTTAGTTAAGATCTAAATAACGATGTATAAAGGACCTCGTGATTACTCTCAGATCTTCAACAGCGTACAGGCGCTCTTCATGCCATTTTGTAATTTACTTGAACTCTCCGAAATGATAAAACATCTTCCTCATGCACCATCGTTTCCCCTTATTAGTTCACAATTCCATTCCCAAGTCCCAACTGCATTGTATGACACACGTCTTTTTGTTAGTAAGATAGTTCAGAGTACTAATCCGAGCGGCATAGCAGTTCTATAATACTAACCCAACTAATACCATATGGCGTACAACCTTTGTATAGTGTAACATAGTTTCATAGTACCATTCCAAACAGCACCATACGAGTCACACCCTTATTTAGTACTATCGCATAGAGTCATAATACAATCATCAAAATGGTGCCATATGATTTGCATACTTTTTTTGTAACATAGGTTTGCAATACTAATCCAAATGCTTCTGTCTCAATTATTGACATGTTTGGTAAGCATGTGCTACAAATGTACTAGTAGAAAACATCTCAGATTTCATTGAACCCTTAACTGAATATCCTATGCTTGTAAACAGATACGGAATATAACATTGTTAAATCTTCCCATGCATGCAGCACCATCCATACCACTTCATTATTCTAGTCTAAAAATTTCCATATGACACCCAATTTCTTTAGTAAGATAGTTGCTAAGTGTTCACAGTGTTATTAATGCAGATGACTGGTTATATCCAGCCTTATGATGCTGCCATAAACCACCATTCTTTACAAGTTTCATATGGGGTCAATATGGCTTGCTATATTCTTTAAATGTTAAAAACAATATTAGAATCTCATTACAATCCAACTTTTAGCTGTTATACCTTGACCAATCACAAACTCTGTCTTTTTCGGGACGTAAGGAGTATAGTCATCTAAAATATTTAAACAGTTGCAGCTTTATTGCAATATTTGTACGCACACGTGCACGCACACAAACACACACAAACACACACGTTTTTCATTTTAATAATGATGGCATTGTTAAATTACGGTGCAGTGGACTTGATAAAGCCAGAAACCACTGTGATTCTCCGCAACGCCAAGATTGACATGTTCAAGGGGTCGATGAGGCTAGGGGTGGACAAATGGGGCCGTATTGAGGTGACCGAACCTGCAGATTTCACTGTCAAAGAAGATAACAACCTGTCATTGATCGAGTACGAGCTGGTGCCAGTCGAAGAATCCGGCCCGGGCCCCAACATGTGAAATGCATTATCTCTCTATTAGGTGAAGAAAATGGAACTAGATTCTGGGTATTGGGGTTAGGAGATTTGTTAATGAAGTCCAAGTTTACCCTTTTTTTCTTATTAATATTATTATTGGCTAAAAAATTCAGGTTTGGTGAATGCTGAAGAATGGGTGTTAGTATGTTTTTTAAAAAAATCCAGTTTGGGATTACTGGGTTTGGTATAGCACTATTAGTAACTATCATTGTCGTTATTATGAGGTCTGTTTATGAAGATTTACTATGTCATTAGGACTAATCTAATCTAAATTGGACTGTAAAGTGTAGTTGACTCCATCAATCATGATCTGTGTATTTTCAGATATCCGTATGTTCTTATTTGTTACACTCTGTACTTTTATCATTGTTTTGTTTCGTCGGAGGCTATGTGATATGGTTGGGGCTTGGCGGAGTGCCATCACGGTTAGGGGGTCACACCCACGGTCAAGTATGTGTGGTATGGGAGGGAGGTGTGAAGGAGGGTATAAACGTCCTTCCTCATGCGGTCATGCCTGATATAGTTTGTTGTGATTGAAAGTAATTTTTGTGCAAATGCAACATGTCAGTTGAGATTCATAGTTGGGTACAATCAGCCTAAAAATTACTGCGAAGAGGCAAAAGAAGTCGACGAAGAGGAGCAATTACTACGACCAGCGATTTTGGTTCGGAGGGGAAGCGCCGATGAAGGGAGGGCGACGAAGAAGAGGCCTACAATTTTGGATCGAAGGAGAGGTCGGTTGCACGTAATGGATGAATGTGGCAGTGGCAAACCTAGTGAACAGCCGATGGCTCTGCTGTAGAAGATGTAGTGCGTCCTCCCTCGTCGTTGTCCTAGTTGACGGCTCCCACGATTTTTTTATTTAAGTTATTTAGAATGAGTACTATTTTGCTACAAAATGAATACTTAGTTGTTTGAAAATGAACACTGAGTTATTCGTAAATAAATGTTATAATTATATTAAATAAATGTGTGATTGCGTATTACCTTTAGAATGAGTACTACCTATTTTCAAATCAATGCTTACGTTTGTGCGAAAATGAGTGCTACTATATTTTAGAATGTGTAGAACCCGGTTGTACCTATCTCTAGGTACAACCGGCTGTACCATATACCTTCTCTAGTAGCCATGATATGCATTTGTTCGCCTTAAAAGATGGTGGCTCTAAGTACACTTTGTGTTTCTTTTCGTTTTTTGTTTTCCTTTGTAAACACATAAAAAAAGGTCGAATAGCCACCTTGAGTGCCCCTACACACAGAGGTGGATCTACTGAGAGTTCCATGGGTCCCACGACCTTACAAACCTCGGTGTAGATCCATATAGATATTAGGTTTTAATATACATTTTATTCCCTTTGTCCCCAATTTGATTAAAAATTGGATTTACGAGAAAAAGATTTCTTATTTTTTGAAATCGTTTTATTTATGAATCGATATATCAATAAGTAATGAAAATTACATACTGTATTAAAAAACTACGTCAAAAGCTCTACGAAACAAGAGGTGACAAGAATGTTTTATTTTATCAAATACTTAATGAAATCGCGTAAATAAATAAAAATTATCAAAAAGAGAAAAATTGTAATCAAAACGAAGATGGAAGGAATATAAAATTGAAAGAAGCTTAGATTTGATGATGTATTGAGATAGTCCAGCGAAATAGTCCAGCGAAAGCACTGTTTTTGCACCTACCAGTGAAAGTTGTGTTCAAATCCTGGAGGAAGTTATTTTATTATGCCCAGCATAGAACTTCTGAGCTAAAAGATGGTTTCCAATCCTATAAGCTTATGTGTTCATGAAGTGTCCACACGGGTAGCTTTGATGGTCTTGGCTTCTCAGGGAAAAGTATCAAGCATGAGGTCTCATCATTTTGGGTGATGACAATAATACTAATTGTATCCAAATTTTTTTTTGAAAGGTATAATAATTGTATCCAATGTCCTTGAAAGATCATATAAAAAATATGAGTACCATGATTTACCTCTCCACTACTCTATCTGGTTTGGGTGTGCCCGTGTGACTAGAGGCGGATCGAAGATTTTTTGGCCATGGGGTCCTAAATTCTCTTACCTTCGAGTCTCTACCTCGATCTAATCCATAATTTTAGAAATAAACTAAAAAACATTTTCTATTTAAATCAATGTTTAAACATTCCTTGAAAAAAATGCTTAAGCCCGAACCAGCCAAAGAACCAGAGTGGCGGCCAGGTCGTGAGTTTTCTTGGTCAATCTGGGTTTCCCGGTTTTTCACAGGTTAGCCTGAACTGGTTAGGATCCGATTTCCAGTTTGACCTATCCAACTGCCTGATATGGTCCAAATATTGTAACCTCGATTTACATAGTATCATACTATCCCCATCATTGAATATTTATCCAGTTTTGACTTTTTAAAATCAAATGCTTTCAATCTTTAACTTATAATTAAATAAAACATATATTATATATTAATTAGATAAAATAATAATTTTTAAGTATTTAATAAAATGAATCTAATAAATTTATTTTTTGTATTAATATATAATATCATTTTTATTTAATTTGTAGTCAAAATTTACTAATGTTGACCAAGAAAAGTTAAAAGAGAACAAACACTCAGAGATGGAAGAAGTAATTATTACTCGGAGTTATACATTTAATAGTGTTGTACAAAGGTATTTTACAATTGGTCAAATCAAGAAGAAACAAATATATGCTTCTTTCCACAAATTAGTTTTAAAAAAAATCACTTTATTAAGATTTAAACATACTTTTTGAAAATAACTACTCCGATATGACAAATCTTTTCTTGAACATTAAGAATCTAAGATGAACATCGAATATTTTCTTCACTAAGTGAGAATCTACCTTGAAAGATTCAAAATTGAAATTGCTTTTAAATCTTTTTAAATAGGTCCTAGAGATCCGGCACCATCTTTTAGCTCAGAAGTTCTATGAAGATGTATAGATGTAATGAAAGAGATGAAGAATTAATGAATAGCATTGAACACGAATCAAGAAAAAAAATGTGGAATTTCTATCACACCAAGCCACGGCTTCATCTCAAAGATCTTAAGCTATGGCATCATATTCGTCTTTTACACATTTCCAAACATATTCGAAGAACACTTAAATAGAATCTAAAAATATTAGAAACCATCTTATTCAATAAATCAACACATCAGCATACCATAACAAGATAATCCAAACCCTATGGGGTTTCCCATTGCTCAATGTTAAGCATTGAAATATGCACCAAACAAAAATTGCCCTCAGAGAGTGTACAGACGGAGTAGGCGTGAAGGGTTTGGTTTTCTTTCACGAACACATTTAAACAATCATCCATCTACAATGTAAAGAGAAAGGCATTCATGTAAGGCCACATAAACGAACAACCCCATGAGAATTTCAAGAATATAGAGACAAAAACGACAAAATCATGCATCATTTTGTTTTTTAAAAGGAGACTTTGCAACATCTTCAAGCTGTGAATGCAAGCCAATGAGATGGAGGTGGAGTCATAGCCCTAGACAAGGAAAGGGTAATGTCAAAGATCGATATTGATAAACTAAAACAAGAAATAGCAACGTTTGTGTGAGCAAAGCCCCCTACAGAGCGAACAATCACGTGCTTTTTTTCAGCCCACAGTTAATAGTTTTGGCCTAAAACCTATCACATGTGAAGAGAGTAACCTACAATCAGCTCATTCATGGTTATAAAGTGCCTTAATATCGGCACAAATGGGAGAAGGAGAAGATGAAAGTAAAACCAGCTTATCAGACAAAAGAGTGAAGAGCTGCATATTTTCCTTCCTAAAACCACTAAATTGTGTGGTTGTGAAAATAACATACAATCTATGGGAGAAGTATTTAAAATGCTTTCCTACTGCATACTTTAGAGTCCCAAAATGTTTATGGTTTGCGGATACTTATAATGAAAGCTGAAAACACACGGTAAATTTCACCCGTGCCCAAGGACACTATTTTGGAAACTGAGTAGAACTTGTGCTTTTTAACCGCGTGACAATTGGGAAAAGACCCGAGATTTTTACTTCATCCGTCTACAGATTTGTATTCCCACTTTCTTTTTTCGTCTGTTCAAAAAATTTCTTCCCGATTCCTTTTCTGGCAAATCTTTTATCCTAAAAAGACATTACCAGCCCTATTGACTACTACCCAATTTACCCATACATCGCCTACTTTTGCATCTACTTCATCTTACTTTTCTGTATTTATCAATATCTATTATTCATCTACACTTTATACTTTATTAACTTTCTCTAAACACCCAAGGGTAAAAGTGGAAAGTCAAAGCAATTTCTACTTCTCCTATGGGAAGTAACGCTTAAATAAAATGTTGGACGGATGGAGTATTTAGTAATGCTTAAATAAAATGATCCCTTGAAAGAGAACAGGGAATTTAGCTTTTCCACACTCCAGGCATGTCCACATACTAAAATCCTATACAAAACCCCACGTTAAAATAGTAAATGCAAAGTAAAAGTCATAGAAGAAAACAAAATTTCTTTTCCAGTGCTCAACTCTACTTGTCACACAATCTCCTAGAGTGGCATGGAGGTAAAACTTCACTTGAACCCATTGGCATTTATCATGCATCATCATTGCATTCTGATAAATACCAAGTATTAGCAAGGGCCTTACATGATTAACTAACTACATGAGGGTGGGAAGCTGCAGGATTCACAAATCTGCAAAAAATAGTACTTCCGAATTACTCTACAGTCAATCAGGCACACCATATGATCTAAGTCATCTAACCACAAGAATTCCTTAGATTCTAATGCACACAAAAAGCTCATTGGAGAAAGTGTTAATAAAAAAACTCTTAAATTCTTAGCATGCTTAAATAATAGGTTTGTTGGATGCAGCCATCACCATATACTGAAAAATGGTGAACTAGGTTGTCTCCCACTTAGAGAAACTCAACCAAAATAAAATGGGTCAGGGCAAGGAGGATTTGAGATATTGATATTTGTACATATCCACTTACATAAATGATTATAACAAGATTTATCTGCTACTTTGTTCATCAGCGCAAATCCAATAAGTACATTCTAAACCAAGTGTAAGCGACTTATCCCAAATGAATGAAAGTCATAAAATAATGTAATGACGTATATCTTAAAAAACTAATGTAATATTAAAATCACTTCATAAAACAGAGTTTTTTTTACAGTAAAGAGAATGTGTTTCAAGTTATTAATTCCCGATATTGACCATATTGTTAATTGCAAAGGAATTTGCAGTTCACCAGAGCCAGGCATTTACCTATTCAAAACATTGGAGCTTGGGCACAACTAGTTGTGATTTGTAGTTCAAAAGGTATGCTTTTGATTTTTGTTTGTTGAAGGCTCAAAGGAAAGAAGACCATGCACGTCTATTTTCAGGCAAAAGACTTATATTATACCAAAATGACCCCTTTCTGGCGTGTAACTTGTGATTTTGAATTCCCATATTCAAACCATCCTAAAGCAGGATAGAGTATAAAACGCCAAAATGCTGTATGGCAAAAATTTTTTTTACTAAACACACAAGAATATACTCCCTCCATCCAGAATTCTAATGGTTTATTCTTTAAAATACTACAAAATCTCAAAATTAGGAATCATGATAAAATGATAAAACTTATCACTGTGTGTTCAGTATTTCATATATGTAACCAAATATCTGAAGTACTATCCACTGCGTGTTTTTAATGGGTCATGTTATGATGGGTTATGTTGAGCAATTCGTGTCTTGTTTCTCTCCAAATATAGTAGCTGGACAACCAATAACAGGCATCCCAAAAAGGAAAGATAGAGAAATAAATCCAAATGAAAGCTTCAACCTTCTGAGAACATTAAAATTTTAAAACATAGAATGATAGAAACAATGCATTCACAGAATCTGGATAGAAATATGAAGTTCAAAACTTTAAGATAAATAAATACAGAATATGTATATATATACCTTCAATACTCCAAGCACGGCTTCGGGGTGCGATTGAGATCATGGAATTAAGCAAAGAAGAGGCCGTCGCGGTGTGATATGGAAGCATAGTCTCTACTCTAACACATCCGAGCTCCATGGGAGACCTTCATTTCAATAGCGTATCTTTTAAAAGACCATAAATTAAATTGAAACCGCATAATCTGTGTTTACATAAATCTCGTAATCGTAATTCTAATTTAAATAAAAGCGAAAGGAGATTCAGATGAAATTACCTGAAGATGCGGGCTGTGAGGGGCTTCTGCGTGGGGAAGCGGAATTGGGAGGCAGAGGCCCGGAATTTGGCTCCGGTTGAGAGTCTGGTTGCGGCGGACCTGGCGGAGCTAGTGGCGGAACGGAACACGGACCTGGCGGCGGCGACGGCGGCCATTGTTTCGTTTCTTCAGGTACAGATCGCTCTGCGACTGTGAAAATGGTTTTGGTTTCAATCCACCGGGGTTCTAGGGTTTAACGTTTAAGACCGTGTTTGGCAAGACCCATATACCCACTACTAAATTTTTGGATTCCATTGGGAAAATATATACGAATAGATATTTCATTGTAATAGGTACTAATATTTTAAAGATTTTACTCTCACGGTTCTAAATTATTTATCCTAATTTGAATTTTGTATTATGTTTTATCATAAATTGTAAGAGAAAAAAAATACGGAGTATTTATTTATAATGTGAATTTAATATATTTAGCTCCGTTTTAAGATATAATTTTAATATATTAAATTTTTATAACTTTTATTTATTTAAAATTATATTTAATATGTGATCAAAGTTAGCATAAAACTAATTAAAGTATCACTATTAATTTGGTGACCAAAGTATGACTAAAAACACAATTTGTATAAATGTAGATCAAAGTGCGTACCATATTTTGTACCCCATGTTTCATTAAAAACGATTACCCCGTTTATGTTACATTAGTCACCAATGTCATTGAATGACAGGGGATCCTACGATATTCTATTTTAAAAAATGATGACTCTTATCCTTTCTAAACTTCTTTCTCCGATTGAACTCGTGATATTTGTGTCACGATGTGTCTGCAACCTCAAGTACTCAAAAAAATTTTGTTGTTCGGCCATGGTATCATTCAGATATTCTTTGGGGAAGTCGAAGACAGAGTGTCTTGGTTGGGAGACTTGAAAGCTTGAACCGTCTGATGTGATAGTGAAATTGCAGGTTTCTTTGAATTTTTTCAGTTCAAACTCCTGGTATCAATAAACCTTCTATGTGATATTTTGAATAATATATAACTTCATGACATAATATGAATATTACCAAAATGAGATAATATTAAAACATGCCTACATAAATAACATGAATTTAAATATATAAACATAAAAAAGATACTCTGTAAGTATATAAGAAATAGATAATTGAGACTTGTGTGAATTTTAGAAAAGAAATGAGATGTATTTATAAAGGAAAATATTTGATTCCCCACCAACGGTTCTTTTAGCCATTAGAGCCCCCAACGGCTTTGGCAGCCCCCCCTCCTCCCCACCCACACTCAAATTCAAATAAAAAAGAGGTCAGAATCAGACCAGTACCGATTAATTCTTGTACCAAAATCACCAACCACCCCCAGTACCAACCAACACCCCCACGGTTAATAGGGATGCAAATGGACCTAGAGTGTTAAATAGTTGGTTAATCGAGTGTGTATTTTTCGAAAAAATATACATCTAAATGTAAAATATATGAAGTTTATAAACAAGAGCATAGACAATATATTTTGATGCAAATCGGTAATAACCACGGGCCTCATTCGGCAATACTGTCCTAATAACTAACGGAGTGTCTTATTACTCCCTTCGTCCTAAAACTTTCTTCCCGGTTCGCAAAACGAAGAAAAATCCCAAGTTTTTTCAATCTATTTTATTTAAATATTGGTATAGAAATAAAAATAAAACATACATATTTAAAAACTACATCAAAAGTTCAACAAAACAAGTGGTGACAAGAATATTTTATTTTATCATATAGGCCATGAAAAAACACAAATAAATATAAATTCCCGTGAAGTTGGAATAGTGATCTGGGAAGAAAGTTTTAGGACGGAGGGAGTATATATTTGGGAGGAAGTTATGTTGAAAATGAAAGGATCACATTGTATTAACTAGCTCAAATTTTGTATTACATGATTAACTCCTATATATAGAAAATGAAAACAAACAACAACCAAAAATATCTTCTTAACAAACTAACAAACTATGTAACTAATCAACTAAACAAATGCTAAATGGTTGATTACACCAACACCCCCCCTCAAGTTGAAGGTGGGAACAACTTCAACTTGCAATTGA